GGAGATTTTCTAGACTTTTGGGAGGCTAACTGACCCTATGACTTTGACCTTGACCTTAGCAATAGTTCAGCTAACTAGCCCTGGGAGCAGGGCTGAGAAGGGAGGACATTGAGGGCTGGAATCCAACTGCTGCCCTAAAACAAATTTTTTTTCAACTAAATAGATAATATATTAATATATATTAATAAATATATCATATATAAATAAACCGAGATGCAGCATGGCGTAGCAGGGAGCTAGCCTTTAAGGCAGGAAGAATCTGGGTTCAAGACCTACCTTGGACACATACCAGTTGTATCACCTTGGACAAGTCAATCTCTCTCAGTGACTTGACAAAATTCTCTTGGACTGTACATTATGAAGATACTGATCTTCAGTGGTAAATGAAATTCCTCACCAGGAGCTCCCTACCCCATGAAATCACAGGTCTCATAAAAATGATTTACTCTTCAGCAGAGGGATTGGCCTCTCCCACCCTCCTTCGCCCAGCCCTCCCAGATAATGGATACCTAGCAATGACAGTATTAGTCAATTCACTGAGTAAACTTCCTTCCTCCCTGCCCCAGCAAAGGTTCAAGCAGATTTCGAATGTCCAGTGCAAGAGTCACACGTGCATACACACATTTGTAGACTATTCCCCAGGTTGGTTGGTTGGTTGGTTTTTTAATTAAGGTATTTGTGACAACTGTAAAAATAGAAACATCATGCTGAGGAATACAGCTCTTTGGTGATACAGTTTTTTTTTTCTTTAACAATTTTAAGATTCCATTTAAAGAGCAAGATCCCTGATGAAACAGTGGCCGTGGAGCTGTTCCCCCACCCCTCAATTGTCACCACAGAAACCAGAAGGGAAGAAAAGCAGGTGTTGTCCAGTTAATTACAGAAGGACAAATCTCAGTTTCACTGAGCATGGAAAGGCCTGTACATTCCAGCAGCCAATGGGAGACCATCTCAAGGGCCAGTTTTGATTGAACTGCTCTAGTCCGTGTCAAAGAAAATGCTCCCAACGGCGAATTCGAAAGATAGTTCTGTCCCAACATTGTCCATTCAACAAGTATTTATTCAATGCCTACTATATGCATAGGACAGGATGCAGTAGATTCTATGTGTGCTATGCACATAGTAAGTGCTCTATAAATGCTTATTGATTTTGTTTCTTAAGGATAATAGAACAAGTGTTTAGCACTTAGCATTTTACATGTATTATACATTTGAAAGACCACACTCTTGCAAAACCAATTTATACATCCATGCTAAAAGTTCCATTGCTAACCCTAAAAAATTACTCAACATTTAAAAAAAATACAAGAGCTTAGAAATGCTTTACATTTAAATAGCAATTTACATCATATAAACACATTCATCTCTTCATTGGTTAAAACTGGTCAAAGGTTCATCGCTGCTTTGCACCCCAGGTTAAGAATCACAGTTTTAAATAAGGTAGAATTTGTGTGTCTAACATGCATCTTCCTCGTTGACAAGATGAGTGTTTGGTTTCCTGTAAGACCAGGTAATAAGTCAAACGTTGAAATCCCACAATGCCACACTCATTGGTCGATGGATTTTCTTTGAAACAAAAAAATCGTCCTGCTCAACACTGTGCCAAAGATGAAGCAATTTGCAATGGATGGGTCTTAAATTACACGTGGGCCCTTCCAACTCAGCCCCTGAAGGCAAGGCCTCTCTAGAGAGGAGGAGTCTGTGCTCCTAAGAGACATCCGCCATGATGCCACCTGCTTAGACTACAAGTTTTCTTGTAAGAAATCAAGAGGCTCCCTATCTCAGAGAGAGCCCTTTTTACACTTTCTTGGGCTTACATACTTCCAGATTCAACCAATAATGTTTCAGAAAATCTGAGTTAGCTAAGAGTATTCATTGCCTCAGGAAAAAAAGCCAAAAGGAAGTATTTGAAAGGGCAGTTCCCACTTAGCTGCTTTGAGAGTGTCCAGGGCATCAGCAGGAAGTTTCAAGCAGGGGATTTTGAGTGACTGAAGAAGGTAAAAGGCACACAGGGATGAAGCATCTTCAGTCACAGAGAGAGTTCCAGTGGCTCTGGAGTCAGAGGCACTCGCTTCATATCCCACCTATGTGACCATTCATCCCTCTCTGACTTCAATGTCCTTATCTGCAGAACAAGTAAGTTAGCCCTCCAAGGTCCCTCCTACCTCTAAATCTAGGAGTCCAGGAAGCTGTAAGTCAGAAGCCAATTCTCCAAGGAGGACAGCGATCTGGTACAACCCTAGGACATCTCCCCCCACCCCCCCTTTTGGCACTGTAATGAGAAGTACTCGGTTCTCACTCTCAGCACTCAAATTGGCATGGCTGCCTACCTTGGGTTTTCCAAGTCACGAACAGCCAACCCAGGTAAAATGTACAAAATCCAAATGGAGCCAATTGAAAGAGAAGGTGAGAACTCAATACCCCGATTTCTTCAGCTAGGGACCCAGTGCCAAGAAAGAGTGCTACCAACCAATGAGTAGTGAGCAATCCTTTTACGCGGTCATGAACTGGCATTCTCCAACTCCACTTAACACCTACAGAGTGATGCTTGCTGCTCAGGGCAATTAGTTGAGACAGTGAGGGCCCACCCTAGAAAAAGCCAGAAAGTCTCAGAACTAAGGAAATCAGGCCTTGTCTAAAATGCTGTTTTTTGGCCAGGGAGCTAGGTACTCTAGCAACAGAGGATGATAATAATCAGGACTAAGCCCAGAGAAAGGTCAGAGAGAAGCACTGGGCAAGTTGACTCTTCTGTGGAAGATGTTTAATTCAATAAGCATTTATTAAGCACCTAATACATACCAAGCCCTGTGCTAGGTCTTGGGAATACAAAGACAAAATGGTCCCTGCCCTCTAAGAGTTTATATTCTACACATTTTAACACCCCTTCCCCCAATACACACGAGTCACACCTATTTTTTGACATCAGGAAGTAAAAATATTGTGATATGTACTTTCTGTAAAGACTTAGTGAAGGGAAAACAGGCTCCCTCAGAGCTCTTTTCCTTGCTTAGAAAGCAAGATGTGGGGGCAGCTAGGTGGCACAGTCGATAAGCACAGGCCCTGGATTCAGGAAGGCCTGAGTTCAAATCCACCCTTGGACACATACTAGCTGTGTGATCCTGGCCAAGTCACTTAACCTCAATTGCCTCACAAAAAAAAAAGGAAAAAGGAAGATATGCTTTTATACCTCAAGAAGAAGGAAGTACATTGTAGTGCAGGGGATACAGCCCTGGCACTGGAGTCAGGGGAACTGAATTCTAGTCCTGACTCAGCTAAATCCTCCACTGGACCCACAGGCAAGTCCCTACACCCCTCCCAAGCGCCAGCCATCAAATGAAGTTAATAAAAACAATTGCATAACTCCCAACTTGCCAGGCAATTGTGAGGATCAAATAATAAACACTAGAGAAAGACCTTTGTTAAATCTTGAAGAGCTATTTAATGGTGGCTATTATTTTTATGGGTGCCCTGTGTAGAACCATGCCAGCTCTGTCATTTTCTTGCCTCTTTTTTTAGTCACCTGGTAATTGTCAACGGAAAAACTAGACACCACAAAGCTACAGGCCTGGGGTCAGACTGTGGACACCATTGGGCAGAAAGGCCCGAAATCCAAGATCATGCTTCTGACAGTCAAGGCCGACTCTTCCTGCCTTTAGCCTATTTGCAAATATCCAGCAACCAATATTGAGTGCCTACTGTGTGTTATTCATCAACCAATGATTTCTGAGTGCCTACTGCGTATTTGTTGGGGAAGGAAAGAGAATTAATTAAGGTCCCTATAATCTTGGTGGCAACATATCCTGGTCCTCATCTTGCAGGAAAAAGAGGCAGAAAAATTAGGAGAAGGTCAAAGGCACGGGGCAAGCAGGAAGACTAGGGATAACTTGGCTTCACTTTCATTTTCCCCTACATCTAAGCCAATGCCTCACTTTCCAGACACCTTGGAGCCAGTTCCACAGCTGGAGGTGCCCCTGGTAACATGTCACAATAATAAAAAAATCATAGGATCACAAAATGAGACCTGCAACAAATGTTCGAGAACATCGAGCCTAAACCCCTCATTTTGGAGATAACGCAACTGAAGCACGGATAAGGAAGTGACTGACCTAAGGTCTCTCTGACTCCAACTCCAGCATCTTTTCCCACTATGCCACAATGCCCATTTTGGTAACGTTATTTCCTGATCAGAATGTGGAATGCCAGCCAACCAGGCCAGAGCAAGGATAGATGAACCTGGAAGAACCAAGCCATGGGGGAAAGAATTGGGAGAAATCCTCATTTTCAAAAGTCATTCTCATCATCTCACACCCCAACACGCACATATATCTTCCCCCAAATAATTGTGACTCTCCTTCGAAACTCCACCAGTAATTCTCTGACTGTTCTTGCTACATGACTCTGTTTCTCTTACACATCTTTTTCTCTTTTCTGGGGCTCTGAAAGTTGATCCTTTTTCATTCTCCCTAAAAGACAATCTTTGGAGCCTTCCCTCTGTTTTAGTTGAGCTAGAGGGCAGGAGATGGATGACCTCTTAGCTCTTATCCCCAAGTTGGGGGGCAAATAATTACTCCCACAACATAGCGTTCACTCCCACCCTGCCTACTCTATCTAAAAACTAGGATAAACACAACCAAGGATTGACCAGAGGAGAAAGGCAAGAGACAGGAGAGTCTCACCAATCAGCCAGGAAAAATGTAATCTCTGCAGCAGTAGGCTGATCTGGTTCAGAATCCCTGATAGAATGATTCTTTTAACCTTTCTCTCCCCATTAAATTCTATCAGCATGGTTCAGGGATGATAGTAGAGCCAGCATCATCTCCAGCTTCCAATTACTGATCACCCAGAGACTAAGTCCAATCTCCCAGCATCTTTTGGGCTCGTCACCTTGATCCAGAAGGTTCCCAGAGCTATGTCATTGGAGTACAGTCAAGCTGTTGTATCCACTTCTTCCAAGAAGGACACTTGGCATCCTCACAAATAGAGAACATATCACCTTATTCTAAATTATCTTGCATTTAAAAAAAAAAACAACAACATTTAATGCCCTCTGATTTCTTTTTTTTTTTGTCCTCCAGGCAGGTAGCAAAAAGTGGAGAACCACATTATTCTTGCAACAGAAATGAACTTCACAAGAGGCAAAAATTGATCATAACCACATTCAGCATCATATTTCACAGAAAACTGTGTACGTTTTTTCCCCATACAGGACATACTTCAAAGTAACAAAATAATTTTAACAACTGTAGTGTTCCTTCTTCCCGTTAGACGTAGATCGTTTCTTCCCTTATGGTACATAAATAGGAGAAAAGTAGTCTTTGAAATATTTACGTCCAGAGGTTCTTGGCTTGGTGTGTGTGTGTGTGTGTGTGTGTAAGTGTGTGTGCTGATTTCTTGTTCCGACAGCCCTAATTTTCATTTTCTCTCCAGCCCCGGGCATTCTTCCCAAATTTATATACCAGTCTCCGTCCATCCACACGTTCCAGGATTTCTCGTTTGTAGTAGTATCTGTAGAGAGGAAAATATACAAGGAGGCTGACTAGGTCTGAGCTGGTGGAATGTTTGAGCGTGGAAGACAGAGCTATAAATAGCATGGAACAACTGGCACTTTGTCCCAAAACATCGAAATTAGAGGGAGCCTTCAGCAACAAGCAAATCATGGAATTTAGCACCTTAGTCAAAGGAGAGAGATTCTCCCACCCCTCCCCCCAACCAAATTTAATTCAACAGTGCTACACAGAAGCCAGGGGATGGTTTCCCAAGGTCTCTCTCCACCTGCCCCCTCCCCAACACACACAAACTGCTCTGGCTCCTCCCTCAGCTGGCCCAGGAGTCAACATTCTAGGATCACCAATTTAGGGCTGGAAAGGACCTTAGGGGTCACCTAGCCCAACTCCCTCATTTAACAAATGAGGAAACTGAGGCACAGAGAGATAAGAGGACTTTCTGGAGCTCAAACCAGTCCGAATGCCCCACCAGGGTGGGCAGGGCTTTAAATCTAGGCCACCCAACTCCATCTAGCTCAGGCCTCTTTCCTCTTCCCTAGCTCGTCGTGGCCGTCAGGGATCATTCAGCTTTTATGGCATTCAGGCCTCGGGGATCGTTTACCTCATAGCCCGGCTGAGTTTTTCGTAGGTCATGCTGCTGTTGTTCTTTTTCTTCCCCCAGAGCTGAGCCACTGCCTCTGATTTCAAGAACCTGAAGATACCCTCAGACCGGTCTTCCCACTTTATTAACCCCGGGTTCTTATCCGGGTTCAGGAGAATGTCTCGGATGAACTCCCACAAGTGAGTCCCTCGAGGGTCTACCCAAGAAAGCAGAGACAATTCGTCACCAGGGAGTGAGGGAAGGGTAACAAGTCTTCAACTACTACATCTCTAGAATGTAAGCACCGTGAGGGCAGGAACTGTTGCTTTGTTGTTTTGTTTTTACGGTGCCTAGCATACACTAGGTGCTTAATCACCGCTTGTAGAATTAAATTGAATTAGATTATCGATGGGTGCCAGTCCAACACCTTCCTTTGGGTCTCCCCCCTTTCAGTTCTATTTCATGTGTTGTTTCCCCTTATTGGAATCTAAGCTCCTTGAAGGCAGGGACTGGCTTTCTTTCTGCTTGTATTTCTATCCCCAGTAAGTGATTAATAAATGTTCATTGATTTTTATTCAGATAAAGGTTAAATTTGAAGGCCTCTGAGGTCCCTTTCACTTTTGAAATTGAGTGATTCTATCTCCTTCAACATATGGGATATGTGCTTCAATTCAAGTCAACAAGCAATTATTAAGCACCTACTATGTACATGATACAGTGCAGAAAACCCTTCATTGTGTATGTTAGTTGAGGACTGAAGAGTAGAATGGAGCCCTTCCCTGTTAAATTCATCAAGTCATTTCTACATTCCAGTTTATGCTTGTATTAACACTCCCCTCAACTTCTGGTCCCCAGCTCCATGGCTGTGACCTCACACATCTGTCTACACAGCAGACAATCTATGGAGCACCTGCTCCATCTTGGATCTCAAAAATAAGTATCTCTTGCCTAGAGGTATAAGTATCTTCAGGAAAGAGGGAAGGGTGAAGGGGAGAGACAGACACAGAGAGAAAGAGAAAAAGGAAGGAAGGAAGGAAGGAAGGAAGGAAGGAAGGAAGGAAGGAAGGAAGGAAGGAAGGAAGGGAAGGAAGGAAGGAGGGAAGGAAGGAGGGAAGGAAGGAAGGAAGGAGGGAAGGAGGGAAGGAGGGAAGAAAGAAAGAAAGAAGGGAAGAAAGAAAGAAAGAAAGAGGATAGCCAAAGAAGGCAACATTAGTTTACAAATAAGTTCTAGTCTTCATCACTCAGCAGGTGACCAAAAAGGCATTTCATCCCAGTTCCTCAGCTCCATCCCAAGAGCCATATGCTACATTTCTACAGCCCTTTAGGGCAGTACAGTAGGGAGCATGTTTTACATAGTCACACAGTCAATAAGTGGCAGAGTCACTACTAAGTATTAAAGATTGAGTTTGTAAATATGACTGAACCAGTCATGTCTGATTATTCATGACCCCATTTGGGGTTTTCTTGGCAAAGATAATGGGGTAGTTTGCCATTTCCTTCTCCAGATCATCTTACAGATGAGGAAACTGAGGCAAACAGGGTTAAGTGACTTGCCCAGGGTCACACAGCTAGCAAGTGTCTGAGGCCAAATTTGAACTCAGGTCTTCCTGACTTCAGGCCCAACACTTTACCCACTGAGCCACCTCACTGCCCCAACTCCTCTGTTTTAGTATATGAATAAAGGCTGGTGGTGGGAGGGCATGGAGAAGGGGAACTAGAAAAGTGATGGCAGAAACCGGTCTGATATGGTGTGAAAATAAGCTCTGGCTTGGAGATCAAAAGACATGAGTTCAAATCTCATCTCTGTTATTTACTGTATGTATTATTTGGGGAAAATCATATAATAGCAGTGTTTGAGAATTTGAAGGACCATGCCACGGGTGGGAGATTCAACTTCTTTGAATGCTCCATGATGTTGCCTTGGGAAGTAGAGGGCTCCTCCTTGCTAGAGGCTTTCGAGCAGATTGGATGCCCACCTGCCAAGAATGTCGAAGAGGGGATCCTTTTGACCATGGGTTGAACTAGACAGCCCCTGAGGTCCCCATCAGCCTCTAAAACTCTGTGATTCCATTTAGGGGGGCCTCAGGCTCCTCCTCTGTAAAATGAGATAATTAGCACCCCCAGTGAGGTCACCCTATGAACCAATGCCTAGCTTCTCTTGGGCAATGGAGTGTTTTCTTTGCTCTCCAATAATAATGTCTCTATCTGCCTACCTACCCATTCATCCTGCCGTCATTCCACCTGTTCCATTCATTCAATGAACATTTATTAGTGCCTACCATGTACAATTCTAGGGAGAGATTTAAAAAAAAAATTCAGCTAATCAGTCAACAAACTTTTATACAGTATTTACTATGTGCTGGGCACCATGTATACAAATACAAAAGTGAACTGGTATTTACCCTCAAAGTGTCTGTATTCTACTAATCTAAACTAAAGCCCTTTCAGTCTAGAAAGGGGCTAAGTCAAACCCAGATAAGTGACATACAATATTCTATGATTATGTGCTTTAGAGAGGTGAGGAACAGAGGATCTTGTGAGGCTAGAAAGGGAGGTTTACCAACCTCAGGCATCAGAATAGGCTTCACATACGTCAGGGGCATCTGCATTGGGCTTTAGCAAACAGGTAGGGATTCAGCCCATGACAGGGAAAGGGAAGACATAGAAGTGAGAGAAAGCAAAGGCAAGGAGGCCTCAAAGATAGGTCTATTAAGAGAATAGAGAGCGGTCCAGTTGGGTAAGGGCATGCTGCACATAGATCCATGGAGGGAGAAAGGACTAGGAAGGTCAGGTGACGCCAGTCAGAGGAGGCTGGCCTTGGCTCCACGGTCACAAGGGGACCACTTACTGTGTTTTTTGGGGTGAGATTTGGCGGGATGCTCCTGCTCCTTCTTCAGATCAGGTGAATCTGCTCAGGATGAACAGAGAAGACACTCAGGTTACATACTCTGCACCATTCTTTTTCATTTTAATAACACAAAAATATAAATGCCAGTTATAAAGAGAGACACCTTTCAAACAGAGAGACAGATCCTTTCTTCTTTTTTTTTTTCTTTTGGCATGCAAAGTTATATCTTCATCAGCCTAACAAAGGAACCATTGACGGGATTTGAGTGACTACAGAAACATATAGATTAGTTTAACAAAGGAATGACTCACTGTGGGCCCTGTGCCTGTCACCACGGCGGGGAAAGCGACCGAGGCACAGCTGAAATCGAATTAAAACTGTAAAACTGAGAGGCAAAATTGGAGGTATCGTATGTGTTGTCTGTGAGACTTCGTATTATGGGGACATTTAGGAAGACTGTACAAAGAATGAGTATAATAACCACCTCAATGCTGAACTCTACCCCCTCCCAATCCATTTTCCTTAGAGCACTACCTCAAATAAAAAATAATCCCCAAGCCGGCTCTATCAAGAAAAGTGGTACAGAGGAATGTCTGTTAAGACCTGGAGTCAGCAGCTGCCACTCAAGAGCTGTGAGACCTTGAACAAGTCTCTGTAAGTCTCTGGTCCTCAGTTGCCTCTTTCTAAAATGACAAGACTGGACCAGATGCCTCTGAGGTCCCTTCTCCTCTGTGATCTTTTAATGCTACAGACTTTCCTTCCACAGTCCCTCAGAAGGACAATCCAATGATGGTCATTGACCACTTGCCAGATTTCATTCTCCTGAAACCAAGACTCCAGCCCTATCCCCATTATCACACTACAGGGGTGTTGGGCTTCAGACAGAAACTGGACTTAAGCATTCTGGGCCATCTCTTTCAGATGGACCAGTCTACCTGACTGAGCTTCTCTCTACACAAGGCTTTTAGCTATTCCCACAAGGGCCCTGTGTAAACTACCTGAGTCGGATGGGAAGAGATGAAAATTTGTCAAGATATTATACTAATCGCTCATATTTGTACAACCTCTTTATCTATAATCTCATTTGCTCCTCACAACAACCATGAGAGGTCAGTCAATGTATGACTAATCCTATTTTTTTCAGTCTGATCCCATTTTACATGTACCAAAACCAAGGTTCAAAAAGGTTGTTACTCACCCAGGGTCACATAGCTAAAAAGAATCCAAGGTAGAGTATAACTGTAGTGTTCCTGGTCCCTATTCTAGCTCTGCCTTTCTGCTGAATCCAGTCCTCTGCTAATGTGCTACCCAGATGTCTCTTCAAAGCATTGAGGGGGCCATGCCAACCTGAAAGTGGGTCTTGATACAGCAAGTCCATCATTGGAGGACCAGCCAAGTTAAGGTGAGAGGGTCAGTCAGCTGCTGAGTCACTTTTTGGACCACAGCAACTCAAGGAGAACCGTGGCTTGGAACAGAAGACAGTGATACGAGCCTCCTTGCTGCTTCCCATAATCTCTAGACTGCGGGTATTTGCACTGGCGATTCTCCATGCCGGAATGCTCTCCCTTCTCACCTTGGCCTCACTGGAATCCCAGCTAAAATCCCACCTTCTATCAGAAACCTTCCCTTTAATGCTAACGTCTTCTCCCTCTGTTGGTTACTTCCCATTTTTCCTGTATGTGTCTTGTTTGCACGTGGCTGTTTGCACATAGTTGACTCCCCCATTAGACTGTGAGCTCCTTGAGGGGAGATGTGTCTTTTGTTTCATTTGGGTTTTGTCCTTTTTTCTTTTTTGGGGGGGTGGGGATGGGGTATCTCCCTCCATTATTTAACACAGTGCCTGGCACGTGGTAGGGACTTAATAAAATCCTGTAGGTTTGACTTGATGTATCCAGTCTATGATTTGGGTGACTGAAGGAATTCTAGCCAGATAGAAACCTGGTTCTTTTGAAATATAAGCAAAAGTAGGGACAGCTAGGTGGTGCAGTGGAGAGATCACTGGCCCTGGAGTCAGGAGAATCTGAGTTCAAATCTAGCCTCAGACACATAACACTTACTAGCTGTGTGACCCTGGGCAAGCCACTTAACCCCAAGCGCTCCACAAAAAAAAAATAGATAGATAGATAGATAGATAGATAGATAGATAGATAGATAAATGAATGTGCATAAGATCAACAAGAAAACCCCTGAACAAAAGTCCACAGAATCACATATAGTCAGATACAACTGAACAACAAAATGGGGATAATAATAGCACCTCCCTCCCAGGGTTGCTGTAAGGATGAAATGAGATAACACATGTAAGGTAGGGTTTAAGCTCGTGTCCTCTGACTGCAAACTCTCTCTCCCTCACTAAGCCATCTGGCTGCTACGAAGGCACCAACCACACGAGGCCCGCACAACTCCTTCTCCTTCTTTCCCTTTCATGATAAGTTGGTTTGTCCTGAAGTTGCAAAGGTTAATTAATTCCCAGGAAAACCAAAGAGCCCTCCATCACCCTCTCTGCTGGGCAGGAGGTAGCAGGGCGAGGGCGATTGCAACATCCCTCACAGCAGGATGTGACAATGTCGCAACAGCCTTGGCACTGCCCCAACAGCCTTGGCACTGCCCCACTGACACAGAGTGATCCATCACTGTGACAGGTCAATGCTGCTCCCTAGACAAAGACACGTCGTTACCCAGAGAGCAGTGTGTGGCAACCGGAGCTTTCTAATGGCGCCCAGGAGAGATGCCCAGAAAGCCTTTCCGAGACAGGGTTGGGCTCGGGGAAGATACTTCTCCCCTCAATGGCCCACACATTCCACGGTCTCTGTGTAAAGGCTGCAAGTTTCGGGGGTTAGCCTGAATCAGGAAGAGATGGGTTCAAATACAGCTTCCAATGCCTACTAGCTATATGACCCCAGGTAAGTCCCAGGAAGCTCTTTAAAACTCAGTTCTCTCCTCAGTAAAGCGGGGAAAATAGAATCTAGAGTGTCTGCCTGTAGTTATGAGAACATCCACATAAATCTCTTTCTAAATCATCAAGTATTACATGAATGTCAGTTATTTAATTAAAGTAATGGCATAGACCACAAGGGCAAAGTTTTTTCTGGCTTTGTCAGCCCCTCTTTCCCAAGGCTTGACATTCATAAGACCCAGGTTCAAAACCCTACTCTGATGCTTACTACCCTTGAGACCATGGACAAGAGAATTGTGACTCAGTTTCCCCATCTATAAAAAGAGAGGATTGACAAAGAGATCAAAGAAAGAGGAAAAGGACCCATATGTACAAAAATATATCAGCTCTTTTTGTGGTATCAAAGAACTAGAAATAAGGGGGAGGAGGTATTACTCATTAGTTGGGGAATATCTGAACAAGTTCTGGTATATAAATGGGATAGAATACTATTATACTGTAAGAAATGATGAAAGAGGGGCAGCTAGATGGCACAGTGGATAGAGCACTAGCCCTGGAGTTAGTTCAAATCCAGCCTCAGACACACGATATTTACTAGTTGTGTGACCCTGGGCAAATCACTTAATTCCAATTGCCTCACCAAAAAAAAAAAAAAGAAAGAAAAGAAAAAGAAAAGAAATGATGAAAGAGACCATTTCAGAGAAAACTGAGAAGACGTGTATGAACCGATACAGAATTAAACGAATAGAACCAGGAGAACAATTTATATAATAACAACATTATAAAGACAAATGACTTTGGAAGAGAGGTGCTATGACCAACACAATGATCACCCAGAACGCCAAAATCTCGATGATAAAGCATGCTACCCATCTCCAGAGGTGACTCAGGGTACAAGAGAAGACATTTTTTTTTGACATGGCCCCTGCATGAATGTTCTGCTTGACCACACCCATTTGTTACAAGGGTTTTATTTTTCTTCCCCCTTCTGGTAATTTTAACTTGGTGGGGAAGAAAAGAAAATGGATTTTTGTTAGTTAAATATTAAATTTATTGAAAAAAATAAAGGGAGTTAAACTAAATGGGCTCCCAGGTTCTTTCCAGCTCATGACCACTGCACCTCCGATTTTGTCCCCTGGTCTTCCTAACACAGGGTGCCTCCATCCCTAGAGGCCCAGCAACCCCGATGAGGGTTTTACAATGCAAGTGTTAGAACATGACTTCAACTCCACTGCCTAGCTCACAGCAGAGATTAGGGGTATTTGCATATGATTCAGCTGTGAGCAATTTCTTTACTGGATATACAAATTTCAGTGTTATAAGAGGCTGCAACGCCCTAGCTTTAGGCCCAACAAGCCAGTGGATAAACACATCAAGCCAGAGTTGGCATGACAGGGCCCCTTGACTATCAAGCTCGTCAAGAATACTGGCAAAGCTTTTATGAAAATGGGCAGATGTCAGAGAAATCAAAACAAACTCGACTTCCCCCACCTCCACTTATCGGAGAGGGCATCAGTTTAAGCCAGGCCCCGCCTTAGCTCTGCTGGTTCGTCGTACTCAAATATAGAAAGGTCCTCAATCACAGGACTTTTTATGAAGCCTTGAGATTCAAGAATGGAACCCACTGGTAATGACAAAATGGTGGGACGGCTCTTGTCCAGTCTAGCCATGGCTAGAGTCCACTCCCACTCGAGCCCCCACGGGTCAGTTGGGGAAGCGTAGTGGGATAAGTGAGGCAACTTGAAGCAATGGATGGAACACTGCCCTTGGAGTTCAGTAAAATCCCACCTCCCTTATTAGCTTTGCTCCCCTTAGCAAGTCACTTGACCTCTCCAAGACTGTTTTTTCCCTCTATAAAATGGATAATTTCTGAGGTCCCTTCCCAAATTAGATAGTATCTGTAAAAGTGCTTAGCAGATTACCTGGCTCACAGTAGGCGCTTAATAAATGCTTGTTCCTTTTCCCATTCCCTAAATCTACGATCCTAGGAAATCCTAGACACAGTCATAGAATTACAGATTTAGGGCTAGAAAGAAAGGACTTACCTCACAGATCACCCAGGTTCATCCCCCTCCTTGTTTACTTCTAATCTATCCTGCATATAGATTGTTTGTACACAGCTATTTGTATGTTATCGTAGACTGCGAGCTCCTCGAGGGCAACTACTGTCTTTTAGCTTTCTTTGTATTCCGGTCTATTACGCTGCTTGGCACGTAATAGACACATAAATATTTGTTAACTGATTGACTGCTCTTCAGTTGTGCTGGACAGATCTAGTCTGGAACTGCTAATGAGGTTCTTCCCCTAGACCCCTCCACTATGACCACCAGGTAATAGTTAAGTGTTTGCATAAAGGTTTAAGACCTGTAAAAATAGGGACAGCTAGGTGGCACAGTGGATAGAGCATTGGCCCTGGAGTCAGGAGGACCTGAGGTCAAATTTGACCTCAGATAAAAAAAAATTGCAAAGATGATAATTAAAAATTAAATTTAAAAACATTTTTTAAAAAGGTAAATTTTTTTTGAGGTAATTGGGGTTAAGTGACTTGCCCAGGGTCACACAGCTAGTAAGTGTCAAGTGTTTGGTCTGAGGCCGGATTTGAACTCAGGTCCTCCTGACTTCAGGGCCAGTGCTCTATCCACTGCACCACCTAGCTGCCCTCCAAAAGGTAAAAATTTAAAAATATTTAAAAATACCAGTTGATCCTCACAACAATCCTGGGAGGAAGATGCTACTATTATCTCCATTTTATAGATGAGGAAACTGAGGCAGATAGCAGTTAAGTGACTTGCTTGGGGTCACACAACTAGGAAGTGTCTGAACTCGGGTCTTTTCAACTCCAGGTCTAGAGCTCTATCCACTGTACAAAATTAGATGCCTTCCCCTCACCAAAAAAGCTTTTTTTCCTTCACTGTCTAAAGCAGATGGGGAGCCAAGATTTCCTATCCCCATTTCCTAGCTTGGAATAAAACCCAGGTTTAGCAAAGCCAAGTTCCCCAGGCTCAGGGTATCAGGACTGTGCCCTTAGCTCCAACCAGACCGAATCGTCTCTAACACTATGCTGTTGTTTGGTTCAGACTCATTCATCCTCAGCTCCTGACTCCTTCCAAAGAAACCCATTAGGGAAGCAGTGTTAGCTAAGAAGACTTCTGGAATTGGGCTCTCTCCGGCCGGTCCTGGGCTGTGAGAGCCACAGCCCAGCCTGGGTGTGGCTTCATTTTCAGAGTGTCAGAGCTGGGAAGGGCCTCAGAGATCATCTCATAGGAAACTCCTAGGCAAAGTGACTGACTCCAGGTGATCCAGCCTATGGCTGATGGAACCAGGACCAGATCCAACATCTTAATCCCAGGGCTCTTTCCATTGCACCACATTCCTCTCAGCATAGGCACAGGGCAATTCCTCATACTCCGTCCAGACTAGCCAACAAATTCCAATCTCTTTAAGTCTGTTCTCATTCACTGAGGAAGCATATAAGGCATAAATAAGACACAAGTAAGTCCTAATGCCTGGAAATATTAATATTGTTCCCACTCTTGATTCATGCTTATCCTACATTACGCCCCTTCCCACATTCTACAGGGCTTTCTTGATGTCTTCACATACAATATTCCATCTCTCATCTCCACACCTTTTCATTGGCTGCTCCCCATGCCTGATATTCATTCCCTCCTCTCCCAGAATCCCAGTTTCCCTCAAAACTGCTCAAGTGCCATCTTGTGCATGAAGCCTTTCCTGGTTTTCGAGCTAGTATGCTTTCCACCACCCACCTCCTCCCCCTAAAATTACCTTGTATTTATTTTGTAAATATTTTATGTACATGTTATCTCCCCTGATAGAAAGTCAGTTCCTTGGGGCAGGGATTGCTTCATTTTGGTCTTTGTAACCCCAGCGCCTAGCACAGTGCCTTAACAATTACATGTTGAGTGGTTGATTCAAGGGACAGCCATTTGGGGGTACACCTTCCATGAAACGAAGGTTCCCCTAACACTCCCGCCGCAAAGAATGAGACCTGGGGCAAAGCCAAGTCCTCTGGTTCCCCACCCACCAGTCTTTCCACCCCAGTACCCCAGCTGTGACTTCGGTAAGCTTTTCTCTAAAGAGATTACCTCAGAAAAGTCCTGGCAGAGATTGCATGAGAATTAAACCCTGCACATTAACCTGGCACCAATGCATTTCTTTGCTCTATTACTACCTTTGGGTCTCTCTGGGAGTAGGAAGGGAGTAGGGACAGTCACTTCTCGGTCTTGTATGAAATACACACTCCTTCCCCAATCTCATCTCAACCTCTCTCTCAAGCCTGATTTTGTTATAAGTCTTCTTCCTATAGTCTACTATTGGGTCAAACTGAATTATTAGCTGTTTACCAAATATTCCATCTCTGGCCTCCCAGCCTTTGTATTGGCTGACCCCATAGCTGAAATGCCCTCGCTCCTAATCTTCACCTCCCAGAATCTCTGGCTTCCTTTAATGCCAATAGCAATAATTACGACAACAATATTGCATTATAAGCACTTTAAGGCTTACAAAGTACTTGAACTATAATATCTCAACTAATCCTCACAAGAAGCTTGTGAGGTAGGTGCTATTACAGTGAGGAAACTGAGGCTAAATGTAATTGAGGGTAATGTGACCAGGGTCACACAATAAATATCTGAAGGAAGATTTGAACTCAGCTTTTCCAGTGCCAAATCACACTGTTTCCCAAGGCCTTTTTGGGTCCTCCATGTTGCTAGCCCCTTCCCCTCTCAAGATTACCTTCTACCTATTCTGCATATATCTTTTTTTAATTTTTCCCAATTACAATGCAAGCCCTTTGAAGGCAAGGAATATTTCACTTTTTTTCTTTGTATCCTTAAAGTACCTGGTATATAGTAAGTGCTTAACAAATGCTTGTTGAAAAAAATTGAATTAACAGGAAGCAAGGTGGCACAGTGGAGAGGAGGACCTGAATTCAAATCTGGCCTCAGACCAAACACTTGACACTTACTAGCTGTGTGACCCTAGGCAAGTCATTTTACCCCAATTGCCTTCAAAAAAATGAAATTAAAAAATACTTAATGGTTTATCAACTGATTTTCTGCCTCAACATCCTTGACTAAAATGTACTCCTTCCTCTTCTCTGCTTTTCAGAATCCTCTGCTCTCTCATCTTCCTCCGGGCAGCCTTCCCAGATTTCCCTAGCTGAATGACCCCTCAATTCCTTCCACAAATATTTCTAGAGCCATTTGGTCTGATTACTTTGCTGGCTGCCATCACTGCCCACCTTGGACTCTACTTATCTGTGTACATATCTTATCCAGCTCAACACCCCAAAAAAATAGTCCAAATGACTTGAAAGCAAAGACCAGTTCATTTTCATCTCTGCACTCCCAGTGTGTAGCACAGTCTTGCACAAAATGGGCTCTTAATAAACTTTGCTGAATGGAAATTGAACGAATTGCCCCAGGCCAGATTCATAAGGAGGGAATCATAGATTCACAGATGAGGTAGCTAATCTGGCCAACTTTCATTCTCATTCCTTTAGTCTGAGCAAACCTTGTGCCCCTGAGAGCAAACACACAAGTAAGTAAATGGATTAAGGGACCAAAGTCGGGCTATCTAGTTATCTCTCCAGTTAGCCTAGACAAAGACCCATGCTGGGTGGCATCCCAAGGAGGGCAAGCAGAACGAGCAGATGCCCTGAGCCCGTACTATGAAGATCAGCAGGGAGGATTTGGAGATGTGGAGTGGATAGAAGACAAGACAGAGGAGGCACCCAGTGAAGGTACAAAGTGGGCTGACATCTATCCAGAAGAGGACCAGACTAGTCTCACTCAGCCCTGGAGGAGAAAGAAATGGAAGATTCAGGGAAATGGGAGCTCTCTCTAGCAGTAGAATGGGATGCCTTGAAAAGGGACAGCCCCCCTATGGCTAAGGGGCTTCAGATAGAGGCAGGATAAGGCTCAAAGGGTCATCAATTTAGAGCTGAAAGCACTGAGTCCAGATACCGTATTTTACAGATGGGGAAACTGAGGCACTGAGGTTTTGGGGGGTTTTTGATGTTTTTATTGTTGTTGCATAGTCATTTACCCAGCTAATAAGTATCTAAAATGGGATTTCTATTCAGGTGTTGGTTAGACTAAATGACCTTTGAAATCTCTTTAAATTCTGAGATTCTATGATTCTGTGGCAGGTTCTACAAGTCAATGCACATCCATGTGTTAAGACTAACTCCTCTCCCACTACTGAGCATTTTGTCATTTGGTACCCACTCATATGGCTGATGGGTCTGGGGACTTATGGATATATGTTAAGTTAGGTGGTCCAGTGGCCAGAAGTAAGGAAAACTTGAGCTCTAGACACTTCCAAGCTATGTGACACTTCAACCTGTTTGCCTCAGTTTCCTTATCTGTAAAATGAAGATAAGAATAGTGCCTACCTCTGAGGATTCTTGTAAGGATACATACAATTATTACGAATTGCAAAGCTATTAGCACAGTGCCCAGCACAGAGTAAGCACTCCATAAATGTAAGCTATTAATATCAGTAACATGCTGTGCTCAGCACTAATGCATTATAAACACCTTTGGTAATGACTAATAAGGCATCGGGGCTGGCTCTGAAAGTAGGCAGAGTTGGCAGCCACACCGGTTGGGGTGATTCCAAGAGTTTATACAAAACTATGATGCCCCTCACCTACAATACAAATACTTTGCTTATAACTGAAATTCCACAACCTGAGATTCAATCCTTTGGGTTAAGGCATTCACACACTCAAAGAACGTTAAGCCTGAAAGGGCTTTTTGTGGCCATCTCATCCAATCCCCTCCTTTTATGGGGAGGTGAGGGGTGGGGGAGGGATCAAGGTCCCATCGGTAAGTTGTGAAACTGGAACTGGAACCCAAAGTCTGCGACTCCAAGCCCCAGTATTCATTCCACTATGGTAGTCAGGCTTCCTTACACTTTAATTCCCCCTACAATGCAGACGTTGAGACATCACATTCAATGTTGCCCTAATTTGTACTTTGCTTTTATGAAATTCTTTGCTGCAAGCAGATTTTGCTCAGAAAAGATGTGGGGAGGTGGAGGAGTGCGTAATGACAGTGGGGACCAGCTAGCGTAGGGAGAAGATCAAAGAAAGGAGAGGTCAACTCAAAAGACTTAACAAATCCATTAGAATTCACTTGCTCTGCATATTAGAGATTTCCTTTGAAATAACTGCCCTTCCCCAAGTCACGTGGGAGCCAATTCCATAAGGAAAACTACATGGAGAGTGAGACCTAGAATGCCAATCACTTTTAAGAAGCAAAGGGAATCAGAACATTTGAACTCAGAGATGTAATTGATTATCTTACCAATGGGGAGGTGGCCAGTGGTTGTCATGGAGATCTGAGCTCGGCAGAAAGTTTTGCTGTCCATCATTTCTAAATCAAAGAAAGACAACGGGAAGTTTAGAAGCTACCCCCTTACTAAATGTCATTGTGGGTAATTTGAAAATGGCTCGAATGGTAGGATGGTAGTTACCTACTGTGCTACCATAGTTTGCGTCATATAAATAATTATCTTCTTTCCAAGTGGTCATAATGGAAGGATCTGAAAGGAAAAAGAAAAAGGGGAGAATTCAGGGGGGGCAAGAAAAAAACTTTTGTCAAGTCACCAGCTTTGTGACTTTTGAGATCATAATGCTTTTCCCTGGCCACCAATCCTCTTTATGCTTTGTCTCAATCATTAGAACATAAGCTCCTTGAGAGCAGGCCTGCCTGTCTTTTTGTATTCATATCACTGGCCCCTAACACTATGCTGAATACATAAGGATAGGGACGAGATGTGATTTCATTGATCATAGGGAATGCCCAGATAAGAGAACTGGCCTCTTTGTCAATGTAGATTGGCACCATCTCTGAAACACACTATCTTAGAAAATTGTCTAGAACTCGGCAAGTGACTTGGCCAGAGTCATACAAGCCCCATCTGTATCAAAAACAGGATTTGAACCCAGCTCATCCCGGCTCCAGGACCAGATTTCTATGCCATATGCCGTGGTGCCTTTCACATCATAATTACTTAATAAGTGTTTTTTGTTCATTTCATTCATTCATTCAAGTATCTCCTGACCAGCTTCCCAGCATACCACACTCTATCCTCTTCTGAGCATAAATAATTATTACTGTTTCACGTGAGGGTGGGGAGAGGGTACAAGGGTAACTTTTCTAGGACAAAATTGTATAATTAATGAGTAGTGGTCTTTACAAAATGATATGTTTTCTCATAATTGTATGGAGCTCATTCTGTGTGCATTGATCCTCAGCCCTGTCTGCTGACACCTCTGAGGGTTTCCAGTTAGCCTCAGGGGTATCAGGATGTTTTTTCAAAATGAAACTAATCTTAATCCCTTTTAATTAAAAAAAAATGAATCCACCTACGCCATGCAGCATTTTAAGGAGGAGAAGAGTTTGCAAAAGCAAATAAAAATATTGGGGGTCAAGTGTACCAGTCCTAGAAAGAGCTAGGATGTCCTTCTCTGCACAGCAGATTTGGGGCCTGAGGATCACCTCTTCTCAGCCCTGAATGCCCCTTTAAATTTCTGAATCAAAGATAAACTCCCCTTCACCACCCAAAGTGAAGCCTAACTCCATAGCATCCCCCCAACTCCTGGCTGGTCTCCAAAAAGAAACTTCCCCTGGCAGTTGTTTGAGCTCCATTAATGCCAGCAACTAATTAGGACGATATCTTAATGTGTTTATTTTCCTGGCTTTAGAAATATGAAAAGACCTCTCCTCTGCACCCCCACCACCCCAACTTAAAAAATATTTATATTGTTCTTCAGCAGAAAGCCTACAGCCTGGGAAATGGGAAGAGAGCTGAGTTCCAACTCAGAAGACCTGGATTTGAATCCCAACTGTCCATGTAACCTTGGTCTGTCGTGTCCTCCCATCTCCGGGCCTCAGTTTCCCCATATGTCAAATGAGAGGATTGGACCAGATGGGCTCTGAGGTCTGTTCCCACTCTAAGTCTATGATCCTTTGAGATCTTCATTTTGTTTTTACTGCACAAATCATACGAAATCTGACTCACTGCCTAAGTCCTTTTTACGACACAGGGATTTAGCTGGTATCCTACCTAAGATCTACGTGTTGGGGCACCCCAAGCTCCAGCTCTTTGGGTTACGCCCTCTCCTTGTTTGGTCACCCCATACATCTGCTGTTTTGGGAAGCAAAGACAGCCCAGGAGGTTTGGGGGGTGTTGCCCCGTCTCGGGACCTTCTTTTCTCTTCCCCCTCCAAGGATGGAGCAGCCTTTCCACCCTTTGGCTCCACTCTCCTGAGCTGGTGCCACAAGAAAGCTGGGGTGCTCAGGAAGGAAGAATGGGGCTCTTTGGGACTTCACCACCCCATGGTCCTTGAGGAGGGTGCCTGTAGGGTCACTGAAGGGAGAGGTTTAAACTCCTGGAGAATCCATATATAGGGATTCCCAGCAAAGCTAATTAATGTGCTTAGCTACTCTTGGTTTTGCCTTTAATAACCAGGGAGTAGCTACCTGGTTAAGGAGTAAATACATGCACTGGGCCAGTTTCTATCCCACATGATTCACAAAAGCACCCGAGGGCCAAATTCTGGCCTTGGATGCCTGAAACTTGGGTGCCCACTGAAGCCAGTGACGGATTCTTCTTTCCTCTCCCCTGGCCCTACTAAGATTTAGAGTCAGAGGACCTGGGATGGAACTCCAGCTCTGCTGATTGCCACCTATGTGATCTTGGGTAGGTCACTGAACCTCTCCATGCCTCAGTTTCCTCATCTGTAAAATGAGGTTGCTAATCCAGTATCTTTGCCAAGAAAAGCCCACTAGGGTCACAGAGAGAGTCAGACACAACTGAAAGGACTCCACAATGATAATAACAGCCATAATACCTGTCTCTCATGAGGCTCAAGTGAGGTAATTTATGGAAAGTACTTTGCCAACCTTGAACCACAATTTAACGTCAGCGATTTTTCTTAAAGTCCTTTCTCTCTGACTGATCCCTCTCTGCAGGGATCTCTCCACCAGTGATTGCTTACCTGCTTGCTCTGTCTTCACAATGACATTGTGGGTGGACTGGAATGGGTCACTGCTGCATTGACCTGCAGAGGATGGTTTGGAAAGTTAAAATGATGGGGGACCAGGGAGAGAACCCAAGCTCAAGATTCTGACTGTGCCCTAATTCCTCACGACACCTGCACAGTTTGAGAGTCTGGACCTCCACTGACTGCCCCCGTCTCTGAGCCCTTCTTGTGTTTACTCAGGAGGCCTCCACGGCTCCCACTGATGCAGGCAATCAATCCCCTTGGAAGGCTTTCCCTCCTCCTCCTCATGAAAGCACTTCTACTGACTTGTCTGTGCACATCCTGTACTCTTCCAGTAGAATGGAGACATTTTGAGGGCAGTATAATCCAGTGGAAAGGGCACTGAATTTAATGAGATGACCAGAGTTGGAACCCCGGCTCTTCCAACTGCTGCCTGAATGACTTCAGGAGACCTCAGTTCCTCCTCCTAAAAATGAGGGGGTTAGATTCACTTAGCCTTTCTGAACCTCAGTTTTCTTATCTGACGACCCAAGTTCAAATTCTAGCTCTGCCACTATCTGTGTGACCTTGGGCACATTCTTGAATATACCTGGGCCTCATTTTCCTCATCTATGAAATGACAGGGTTGGACTTGATAACTTTTAAGGTTCTTTCCAGCTTTTAAAACCATGACATAATGACATCCCCTGAGTTCAGTCAGGCCAAGGCTTGAAAAAAGTGGATTTTAACTGGGGGGCGGAGAGGGGAAGGAAGGCTTTTGGCTTCATCTGCCACGGTTGAGTCCTCAGGTTTATTTTTAGTGTTTTGTTTGGTTTGGTTCTAGTAAAAAAATAAATGAAATTAGCAACCACCATGAGCTGGGTGCAAAGGAATGAGGGACTGACAGATGAGCTCATCCAAAATGGCGGTGGGGCCGTGGCGGAGTGGAATGTTCCTGAACTGACACCAGAGTCCTCTCGCTCAGCTCTCAAGTCCCTTCTCAGTGCTGATGGCAGCTGTCAAAAGTTGGAATATCCTTCCTATCTGAGGAGTCACTGCTTCCACATGACCAGCTGAGAAGCCCAAAAGTCCCATTAACAAGGCATCAATTCCCTTCCCTTTGGGGCTAGGTCTTTCCCTATATGCTTGGAGAGAAGAGCTCATTTAGAGCATGTGACTTGGGAGTCCTTGGTTTTTAATGTTGGATGACTTTACACTAGTGGATCCCAGTGGATCCCATTCAAAGCCCTTCTGGCTTTGAATGACACATAAATAAATATAGCATGGAGCCTATATCAGATTGCATGTCATCCTGGGGAAGGGGAAGGGGAGGGAGGGAGAAAAAAACCTGGAACTCAAAATCTTATGAAAGTAAATGTTGAGAACTGTCTTTGTATATAATTGAAAAAAATAAAATACTCTTAAGTGGGAAAAATAAATAAATTTTTAAACCATAGGTTTTAAGTCCAGTAAAATGTAAGCACTTTGAGGGAGGGTCTGATTTTTGGTTTCTGTTTCTTTGTTTCAGGTAGCCCCTGACAAAAGCATCTTGCAGACAGACAATCAATATTTGCTGGAGAGAAATAGTAAGACTCCTGCTTCTCTGCAGAGGTGGGGGAGGGGCAAACTGAACATGGAATGCAAACGATAGCGGCAGACCTTTTTCCAATATGCTGGTTGGATTTGTTAAACTTTTTTTTTTCCTCTCACTTTTCTTATTTTAAGGGGTGGCCTTCTGGGACAAGACGGATACACTGGGAAATAAAAAGGGATATAAAATCAAAAGGTAGCAATAAACAATTTTAAAGGGGGAAGGGGAAGAACTCTTAGGACTATATATTTCAGACTGGCAGGGACCTTGGATTGGAGGTCATGTAGTCTAACTCTGTGTCACAGATAAGAAAACAAAGGTTCCAGCCAAGCAGGTTGCCTGAGGTCAGACAGGTAGCAGATGAAAGAAAGCCTGGGGTTGGAACCCAGGCTCTGTGATTTCAGCTTCAGTGCTCTTCACCCCGACCCCTTTAAAAACAGTCAAGACACTTTTTTCTATCAGTGTTTGGAGATACGAATATTAGGCTATCTCTATTCTATAGGGAATCTCTTATTTAGGTATTAATATTCTATAGTATCTTAGGTAGCCGAGAGAGCGCAAGCTGGTATAGAACCCAAGATGCTTAAGGCATGGACGCCTGGCTTTTCTCTTTGTCTTTGTATGCTTGGCAGTGGCCTGCCCACAGCAGGGACTTAGTAAATGCCTATTGGAGTGAATTGAGAGGTAGTGTCCTACACCCTACTGAGGCTTGGTTGACGCTTGTTGGACTGAATCGAGAGACAGCTTGATGTAGTAAGAGAACTGGGTTGGGAGTCAGCTATCGTGGGTTACAGTCTGACTGCCACTTATTACCTGTGGGATCTCAGGCAAGCCACTTCACTTTTCTGTGACTCGGTTGTTTCATCTGTAAAATCTGCCAATTCTCTATCTACCTCCAACCCTATTGATTTGAATTATACTGGTTTACCCATGTCCGAGGCTCCAAAGACAAAAAAGGATAAATATACACAGCTCCTGGACAGGGGCTTTATAGTAAAAATTTTGAGGCTGGCTTTCAAATTGTCGATAGAATAAATCTTAGCCGTGAGATTTTAACCTGACTGAATGAGCTAGTGATGGCTTTACTGTCTGAATTCACTTTAAGGGCTTCCTAAAGGAAACTGTGACTGGGTAGATGGCTAGCCCGCTACTATTTTCATGAAAATTTAGCAGTGGGATGAGAAGGGAGTTGAATCTTCTGAACTCAAAAGGATTAGGAAAGAGACCATCTCTAGTTATCTACACTGTCTCCCCTTCCACTCCTTGCTATTTCTTTTCCTAGAAAAATGCAAGCAAAAGCAATCCTGGTCCTCTTTGCCAAAGAATCCTTTCTCCCAGAGCCCTGCACTCTCCCAATGTGTCTAGCAGAGCCCACAGAAGGTGGGGATGGAGCGAGCAGAGAGGAGTGTATTCACCATTCCACTTGAGATGTTGCAAGTTGTTATAGAGGATCTGGCCAGCTGCCCCCGCTGCTCGGCTAAACTCTTGCAAGGTCATGCTGCACAAATGTTCCCCGTTGATGTCGAATTCCTGGAAGGGGATGCAGTTGGCATCAAGCTGGTTGGTATCAAGGAGGTGCTGGAGCCACTCCCACACCTGGTACTTGGTCCAGTACTGGGGATGGGTCTCGTGCCATTGGCCTCCAAAAAACCCACTGGAAACTGAAAAAAGAGGAGATCCGATGAGTAAGCTGGGAGCGTACTCAGGGAGGATGACGATGGGACTATTTTTGTACTGGGCTAATAGATTAACAGAAAACACATCTAAAAGTAGCGGGTCGGAGCAGGGGGCGTTGACAACACGTGGGGGAGTGGGAAGGAGGTGGTCTGGCTCCTGGACAGACATACAGGCATAAATAATAACGACGTCAAGTATTTATATAGCTTCTTAAAGTTCACAAAGCGCTCTGCACAGAATGAAACATACATTTTGGGACATAGAGAATGGTAGAATTAGTATTGATTGACTATACATGTTTTAAAGGTTTCATTTTTCTTTTTTTTTTATTTTTGGAAGGAGGGGAGAAGGAGAGTGGCCTGTGTTAATTGGGTTAAAATAATTAAATAACGTGTTCTGAATAAGTGTTTCATTTGATCGTTACACAAGTCTTTCTACAAGTATTATTTTTATCCTCATTTGTAAAATGAGGAAATAGAGACTCAGAGAGGTTAATGGATGTGCCTATAGCACACAGCTACTAAGTGTCAGGGACAGGAATTGGAACCTAGGTCTTCCTGGCATCCAGTTCAGTGCTCCATCTGCTCCAAAACACCAAGAGTTGGAGATTTGAGCTCTTAGCCTAGCTGGACTACGGGCTGTCTGGAAAGCCTCAGTTAAATTCATCTCCTCTCTCTACCTCCACCTCCTTCCCAGGAAAAATGGGTCCAATAATACTTTCCCGTCTCTATCGTTCCCAGGGAACTTTATAAGGACAAGAGACATGACCCTTTTTTCAGAGCTCCTTAGAAGGAAGCTAAGTAGAGAGCATGATTATATTTTCAGCAGCTATTTAATCACAGACCCAGTAATTAGCAAGTGCGCGCGCACACACACACACACCATGTCACCCCATTTTCCACCAAAGCCATGTTGGCATTCAAATGTAAGCTCTTTGAGGGCAGGGACAGGTTCATGCTTGTCTTTCTCTTCTCTTGTCTTTATCATAGTGCCTGGCACACAGTATGCACTTAATAAAGGCTTGTTGATTGATCGGAATGACTCTGAGAGGGGTATCCGGTTCTCTGACTAAGACTTCCTTGCTTTTTCCAAACACAGCTGTTGGCTCTCCCTCCCACTTACTTTGGTAGGAACAACAGTGTTGCTGGCTACTGAATTTTTTGAATGCTGGGGTGAATTTTTCATAACTGCCATTTACCTGGAGTGTATACGTTATCACCTAATCTTCTCGTTGTGCCTAAGTGTGTCAGAGATTGTGCAATGCAAGGCTGGCAGCAATTGTATCCAGTTTTCTGAGCCTCAATTTCCACATCTGTAAAATGAGGAGGCTGGTCTCTGAAGTCCCTTCCAATGAGAGGCCTAGGATCTAGGATCCCATAATTTACTTTGAATACTGACTTCAAGTGCCTGTAATTTAGTCAGCGTGAGGATTCCCTTCCCTGGTACAGACTGAAACCTCTTCATAACCTGGTAATAACCTTTGAAAGCTGCTGGGCTGAGACATTCATTACCCTACTGGCATCCAGTGCTTATGGGTCCAAGGACACAAACATCTAGCCTACACACTAAGACTTCCTGACTCTGCTCTCCAGACAGTCTAGATCCATTGTCTACACCACTGCCAAACTAACATCCTGAAGCGTAGACCTGACTGGGTTATTCTCTTACCTAAGAAGCTTCAATGGCACCCTGTCATCTCCAGGATAAAATGCAGGCTTCTTTATTTGGTATCTTAGCCCCTTCAAAATCTGGCTGCCTCTTATCTAGCCAACCAGACTGGTTATCCCTGCACACATCCTGTGTTCTAGCCAGACTGGCCTCCTGTGCTCTTCCTCACACACAACAGTTGATGGACTCCAATTACACACCCTCCTCATCCTTGGTTCTTAGAAACCCAAGCTCTCTTCCAAACTTAGCTCAAGTAACACCTCTTATAGCAAGTATTTCCTTATCTCCCTCCCTCCCCCAGCTGCTGGACGGCACCTTCTCCTAAAATTATCCTGTATTTACTCTTCATGTTCTTGTGCATGTATGAAGAAGTATGTACATATATACACACACAAAGACGTAGGGAAAGGGAGAGTGTTAAAGATGGGATTATGGTTAGGGATAGAGATAGGGGTGAGGATAGACAGAGGGACAGGGACAGGAATAGAGATAAGGATAGAAATAGGAATTTGTCGTTCAGTCATGTCTGACCCTTCCTGATCCCCTATTGTGGTTTTCTTGGCAAAGGTACTGGAGTGCTTTGCCATTTCCTTCTCCAAGAGATGGGAATAGGGATAGGGATAGGGCTAAGTATAAGACTTGTGATTTTAATGGCAAAGGGAATTCCTGGATGAAGAAATAAATGCCCTCTTCCAATGCAGGTTGACACCTTCTGAAACTTTATGGTCTTAAAGAATTTGGATGAGCACCAGAATATTATGGAACTTCCTCAGGGTCACACAGCCAATGTGTGTCAAAATTGGGATGTGAATAGTCAGCATATTTTTCTTCATTTACATGGGTCTAAGAGAATTCTCTGAGACAATGTAAGCTGGAGGTTTTGTATTTCCAGCCCCTGACAGAGTGCTTGGCCCATGGCATATGGCCTAGCTTCTGAGAAGGGGGCTCCTTCCAAACTCGGGAGGTGTAGCAGAAGGACATTCACTGGGGCTTTCCAGTTATGCCTATGAGTATCCTCGTTAGGGAGGTTCCTTCTCTCTTTACTACAAGGGTATAATTAAGGGCAACTGAACAGTCTGAATGAAAGAGTTGGACCAATGGTCTCCAATGTCCCTTCAGCTTTAAATTTCTGATTATGATCCTACATCATATTTGTTTACCAAAAGTCTAATTCACTGTGGGAAAGACAAGTTCCTCTCCATAGGAAATCTGGCTGGGCCAAATGAATTTAATAAGGATATGTTGGGGCAGCTAGGTGTCTCAATGGATAGAGCTTTGGGCCTGGAATCAGGAAGACCTGAGTTCAAATTCACCCTCAGACACTTACTAGCTTTATGACCCTGAGCAAGGCACTTCACCCTGTTTGCTTCAGTTTCCTCATCTGTAAGATGAGCTGGAGAAGGAAATGGCAAGTCACTTCAGTATCTTGGCCAAGAAAACCCCAAATGGGGTCAGGAAATAGTTGAAAATAACTGAATAAAGTATATGTTGAGCCTACTATGACCTCAAACCATTCCAGGTACATGTCTTGCCCGTGATAATTTGAGTCCATCCTACAAACAAACCCATTTTCTCTTTGCGTGTTGGGGGTTACTTTATTGGAGAAAGGAATGGAGCGATCCCTCTAAGGAATATAAGGAGGGTTAGAAAATTCAACCCTTCTCATGACAAGGAACAGCCAATGGATGACTGTCTTTTATACTCAGACTAAGGAGGTCCATTTGTAACACCCAAAATTAGAGAGGAGGGAATCTAAACAGCCAACCCCAAACTCTGGGAAAGAAAATTGCATTGGGTTTATGGTATTATGGGGAAAGACATTGAACAGCTGACCAAGACCTCGAGGTCCCATCCAGCTCTTCTGTCTGTGATTCTGAAGTGCAAGGGTCCGGCCTATGTTATCTGTGACATGGTTCTGTAGGCCCAAAGGCAGTGGCCAACAAGAGCTTCTTTAAGGCTCTATGGTCATCTCTCTGTCCCTCAGAACCCAGCACAGAGCAAGTGCTAAAGAAATGCTTGTTGACAGTCTGATTGATTTCAATTCCTTTGCTTTGATCTCAGCATCCTTGGGAAGATGGATACCAGACTGATTTAGGGGACAAAAGATTCTGGATACCAAAAATGGGCACCATGATGATGGGAGTTCCACTCAATCCCAGGCCCCTTGTTCCTTTCCAAAGTGAAATGAGCTCCAAATATCTTGTTTTCTAGAGTGGATTCCAGCTTCCAAAATTCAGTTCAATAAATGAGTCAAGCACTGTGCTTGGTATTGGAGATATACAAAGACCAAAATGAAAAGAGCCTTTGCCCTCAAGGGGCTCACACTCTGCTAATGGAAAACAACGTGCTTAATTAAGTAAATGCTAAGCAATTTCATGAAAGAGAGAACATTAAGAACAGGGAAGGAGAGGGAAGAAGACAATCGGGCAGACCCCTGATCTGTGCTACACTGGAAGCTAAAGGGCAGAGATCAGGAAAAGGAACATTCCAGGCATGAAGGGGAAGCCTGTGCAAAGGCAGGAAAGGGAATGTGCACAGGGAACCCCTGACAGGCCGTTTTGTGAAGGGAAACAGTCCTGGATGCCAACTGAAAGGAGAAGACTTCATGACCCAATGAATCGGGGAAAATTCTGCTCAAATGCTCAGCTACTGAGGAGATCCAGAAATGCCCCAGCACCCAAATAATGGACTCCATTTCAGAGAGTTTTCACCCAGCTGACTGGGGTATAAACATGGCTTCTGGGAATGAGTCCTACTTCTCGGTGTAGCTCCAAAATTAGTTTTCCATTTTAGCTTTTATTTTAAAATTAGACACAGCATGGTGTAATAGACAGAATAATGGATCTGACAACAGGAAGGTCTGGGTTCAAATCCTGCCTCAGGCACTTACTAGTTGGATGAAGCTAGGTAAGACATTTAACTTTAACTTTTCTATACCTCAGTTTCCCCATCTGGAAGATGAAGGGGTCAGACTCAATGGCCTGTAAGGCCCCTTTCAGCTTTAAATCTGGGATATATTCACTTGTGTGACTCTAGTCAAGCCCACTTTCTGAGGCAATTTCCTATGACTATAGGTTGCAGAGAACTGGCTGACCTGCATTGTTTGAGGAAGTTTACTCACTTGGGAATTCCCCATAGCAATAAAACCAAAAGTCTGATCAAGCCTTAGAGCAGCCAGGTGCCACAGTAGTTAGAGCAATAGGCCTGGACTCAGGAAGTTCAAATCCAGCCTCAGATACTTATTAGCTCTGTGACTCAACCTGTCTGCCTCAGTTTCCTCAACTGTAACATGGAGATAATAACAGTACCTACTGTGCAGGGTTGTTATATAAGGATCAAATGAAATAATACACGTTAAGTGCTTAACACATAGTAAATACTATGGAAATGTCAGCTATTAAGATTTTAAAATCAACTTGGCAATTTCTTTAGATTTCCCAAAGAAAGCCCCGCCCATTGATTATTGGGAAGAAGCAGAGAAATGCACGTGGTCCCCAATTCCTTTGTGTGCTGAGTGTCTGCAGAGACTACGATTTGAGACCTGGACACTATCCAGTCTTGCTGGAGCAGGGAAGCCAGTCTGGAACAAACCTGACTCCCTCGTCCCGTCCAACTCACCACCACCCAGAGCCAAGAACCCCTGCTGTCCTTGGAACCCTCAGACACTGAGAAATAATGAACAGCCTCAGGGAAATGTAAACTCCTTGGAGGGACTGCATCTCTGGAGTCTAGAACAGTGCCTGGCACATCGTAAGCTCTTAACAAATGTTTCCCAAGCCCAAGAAGCTAGTGCCACCCTGAGACGACCTTCCTTCTTTGCATCTATCTATATTGCTTATACCTGGTTATTTTCTTTTTCCTTTCTTTTCTTTTTTCTTTTAAGGAGGCAATCGTGACGGGTCCAGAGTCACACGGCTAGTAAGTATTATGTGTCTGAGGCTGGATTTGAACTCAGGTCCTCCTGACTCCAGGGCCAGTGCTTTATCCACTGCACCACACAGCTGCCCCTTGTCTTCTCTGTTAGAATGGACACTCCTCGAAGGCAGAGGTGGTGTTTTTTCCTCTTTGTAAGTATAGTGCCTGGCACAGAGTTAGTATAAATAAATGCTTACTGGCTAGACTGAACTAAACTGGATTGTATTGCATTGCATTGCATCGTATGGAGATGCACTGGATTGGGGTTCTCCTCGTATGGAGAGGGAGTTAAGAGACATTTGCTAATGATTAATCTGTTGACTTATTGCTTGACCCAATTTGTTCCTCTTGTGGTAATTGTACAGTTTGGATCTAGAAGGGGCCTCATTGATAATGGAGTCTCAACGTTTTCATTTCATAGATGAAGTTGGGGGAAATCCTCCTGCTTTCCAGTCTGCAAATACCAAGAAAATTGCATGGCTCTGATTCACATTCTGATTCACTCTGCAACTCCCCCAGGGAAATTTGAAAGTGTGCCATGATCCCCCACCCCTATCACCACAATAGTCACAAATGGGTTGGAAAGGAGACAAAGTCATGTTTTCCCCCAGAACTTCTCACATCTGGGGTGGTAACTGGAAAGTAAAGATCCTCATGTAATAATCAGCAATCACACGGCTCTCTCCTTTCTCAGCCTGGGGTGGGCATGCTCCTTGAATAATAAAAGAAAAATTTCCATCTGAAATATTAGGAACTCTTTGGTGGGACCCTGATTATAAGCCTCAACTTTGTAAGCTGGCACTGAAGAGGCTGAGAGCCTCCTCCCCTATTTGATAAATATTAGGACATACTTAGGCCTTAAGGGAATTGGAACCCAAGCTCAGTACCAAATTTGTGTCATGGAATGAAAAGAATAGTGGTTTGAGAGTCAAAAAGGAATAGCTGCTTTGGAGGTAAATTCAACTGGAAGAGGGCTATATGGCCATTGGCCCTCCCCAGCAAAGAAGATTGGGTTGGAAAGACACACCATGGCAGAGGGACCCTGGAAATGGAGGAATAGGGGAGGTTGCAACATACACAACCAGAAGGCCATGATTTGAGAGATGGGACATCAGTAGCTGGTGGGCATGGTAGGCACTGTAGAGAGGACAACCACCCCCACCCACCCAGGAAGGAAGTTTAAATCCCCACCTGCCAGCAGTAGTTATGGTGGTATGGAAATTCAGAGAGCTGAGTTCTGCCACTTACTACATGTGTGACCTTATAAAAGTCATTTATCTTCTCTAGGGCTCAGTTTACTCAAAGGTAAAATAAAGGGGCTAGATGACCTTCCAAATGTGATTGTCTTATCCTATGAATTGTAACTCCACTATTTACTATTTGTTATGGCATTGGGCATATCATTTAACCGCTGTGAGACTCTTTTCTTAATCTATAAAAACTGGGTTGAAGTAGATGATCGCTAATGGTCCTTCTTGTTTTAAACACTATGATTTTGGTTTAAAAAAAAAGGAAAGAAAGAAAAATGAAATCAGCAGGGTAGAGAAATAAGCTAAGGGGTCAAACTGGCAAACTTAGTGTTCCTAAGTCCTTCCTAGCCTCCTCCCTTCATCCCTTATAAAGTGATGTATTTGGGCTGAATAAATACTTATTATCCTACTTTACTTTCTCTTAATTTAGTAAAGGATTAAATAGATTCTTAAATAGAATTATTATTAAGCCGTCCTCAGCCACTACAATCAATCTTGTCCTGTCCTGGATTCGTTGAGAAAGAAGGATGAAAACTTGAAACATGAACCTCTCCTTCAGGTACTACCTGCCCGGCCCACCAACCTCTCTTTCAACAGATCCCACTCAGGCACCATTCTCCAAGATGGGAAGACCAGAACTGGAGAAAACTGCCAAATGGAACCAACTGGGGGGACGCCACCATTCCACAAGGGAATTCATCGTTGAGAAAGTTCTACCTTCCCCACTTGACCTAAAAGTCAATGTTTTTCCAGGACACTGTCCCCTAAGGTGAAAAGAATGGACTCACTTGAGTATGGGGGAAATAGTACCAGGCACCTAACCCCACCCAGAGTCAAGGTCCTCCTACCATTGCATGTGGGGTAACTGTCTGTCCAGGCCGGCTGTTGGTGGAGAAGATGGTTGCTGGAATTGAGATTCATCACACCACTTCCTTCCAAAATCATGATCTGTAAGGGGATCCAACAGTCCGCTCAGTTAATGCCTTCTTGACAAATGCCATTTGGAAAACGCCAGCAGTAAAATTTAAAGGAGAAAAAGAGAGGAGAAAAAAAAAGTCAGTTCTTCAACACCAGCCCCAGAAACATGTTGCCGCAGCCCTTGTCGGTAAAGGCAGAACTCTCCCCCAATTAAAATTTCCATGTCCAATATTCATATGTATGAGACAAGTTTTTACAGCCACCCATTCATAAATGAATAATCTCCAATCAGGAATGAGGCAGAATAAAGGGCAATACCTGTCACCAGGAGATGCTGGCCAGCCTCCAAGTTTATGAAAGTGAAAACACCAAAGGGTGTGTGTGTGTGTGTGTGTGTGTGTGTGTGTGTGTGTGTGTGTGCGTGTGTGTGTGTGCTTCTTAAAGCAGAATTCCAATCAATTATTAAACCTTGTAGTCAAAGAGATAGGCATTTCCAGTGAGATTCTGACCTACAATTATCTACTCAGTAGTCGCAGGGTACCTGTGTGGTTGCATCCCCCACCATACCCAGCCCTCCCACAGAATTACATAGGGATCTGTCATGAGCCTGGTCCACAGAGTGGAGACTTGTCTAGACTCCCCAGCCACTGGGATCTGCTTCTACTTGGGGCACTTGGGACCTTGTACAACCCTGGCTTTGCTTCTCAGAAGCTCTGCCCGCCTCCTCCCACCCTCCAGCCCCCAGACACAAAGGATAACTGGCCCGTCCTTCCTCTTGGGTGTACTAAGAGAGGAAGATAACACGGTCTGGAGAACGAAATTGGAGCCTAATGTGGAGGGGGAAGAGCATTGGCCTTGGAATGAGAGATTTTGCTGCTGAGTCATTTCAATCAAACGCCACCCTTTGTGATGCCGCTTGGGGTTTTCTCGGCAAAGATACTAGAGTGGTTTGCCGCTTCCTTCTCATTTTACAGATGGGGAAGCTGAGGCAAACAGGGTGAAGTGATTTGCCCAGGGTCACACAGCTACTAAATGTCTGAGGCTGGATTTGAACTCAGGAAGATGAGTCTTCCTCACTCCAAGCCTGGTACTCTATCCACTGCACCATGTAGCTGCCCCTTGGGATCAGAGCATCTGGGTTCAAATGCTGGCTTTGCCACATAACTAAAGCTCTATAACTCAGTAAGTCACCTTGTATCTCAAGATTCTCCATGGCCTCAGCAAAATGAGGGCATTCAACTAACCTCAAGGGTCCCTTTCAACTCTGATCACCTGTGTTGTCTGCCCCCTTGTAAAATAAGGGGGACCAGACAGCCTCAGAGGTCCCTTCCAGTTCAAAAATCCATGGGCTTATGATTTTAATACCTATTTAGTATCAAGGAAGATGGAGTGGGGGGCATCTGGTAATTCCCAGATACTCAGGGAAGTCTGCTTGGAAAGAGCCTGGCCTGGGAGTGATGACATCTGGCTCTCATCTAATAATTACCTTGGATTGTCACTTGTTCTCTGGGACTCAGTTTCCTCATCTGAAAAAAAGCAAAAAAACAAACCAAGGAGTGTAGTTGTATTGAATGGCCTCCTAAGGTCTATCCGTCATCATATGATCCTACTTATGTGACTTTGGGCAAACCACTCCCTTCTTTTTCCTTGCTTGTAAAACCTGGAGATGAAGACTCTGATCCTAAAGCTCTTTTTCATCTTTAAGACGTTGTTATCTGAGAAAAAAATAACTCCGTCTGAGCTGTCCTACCTTCAACAGCTGGAGGGCTTAGAGGGGCAGGAAAAGGCGTGGAGGATAGAATCTCCTTCCCTGAGTGTTCTATTTACCCAAGGCCTGTGCTCCCAAGAGTCCCCACGTCGGCCCTACCACCGACATACTTAGGAAAGTTACTGTTTAACATCTGAAGGTCTGAAGATCATAGCCCAACCGGTTTGCACAGAAGGATTGGATAGGCGGGTTTCCACTTCATGGAAGACAGGGGTTGGAGGGAGGGGAAGCTCGGGGGTGGGGGGAGACAGAGGAGGACTAGGCTGGGGGTTTCCCTTAAATTCTTCCATCCTGTTCGACCAGCTGGGGTTGTTTAAAGTGGCTGGTTCCACAGAGCACGGAAGGAGGCAGGCAGGTAAAGACAAGAGGGTGGCCTGGCCATCTCTGGGGCAGGAGGGTGGGAAAAGGAGAGATAAGGTCTCCATTTGCATTTCCCAGGTAGCTAAGCTCAGCAGCTTCCTGACCAGACTCCTCCTAGATACCTCTTGGCACGAAGCACTCAATTACAGGAGGTCACAGGCTCAGATTTAAACTAAGAACTGGAAGGTCACCGCAAGGCACCTAGACAGTCCCCCTTCATTTTGTGGAGATGGCAAATGAGGCCAAGAGACATGCTCAAGGTCATACAGACAACCCCTCTGAGACCTCGGTCAAGTTGACATCAACCAACTTCTATTCTTTGCATCTGCTTGGCCGTCAGACCAGTTCCATCTGATTTAATACCCTTGCTTAGCACCGTAGCTCGACCCCAAAGGGTGTGTAATCAAGGCGAGGAAGAGAGGCAAGATGGATTAAATCCCACCCTCCCAGCCATAGCTAATCATGGGGTTAGTCTCCTACACAACCACACCTACCATTACAACCCAATACTTCCCTGAGCCTTTTTCTACTGCTTGGCAATCTCCCAGTCTTCCCCCTTTTTGATTTGGGCACCAACCCACCTGGGCCTTTATAATATAATCCCAACTTCAGAAACTGCACAGGTGCCATTGGGAAAATCTCCCCCACATAAACCCTAACATACCCAACAAGGAAAAAAAAAATTCTGATAGGAGCGCTGAATCCAAAAAGTCTGAGACCAAGGCACCCAGCCTACCATCCCCTATCTTTTCCACAAAAATAACATGTTACTTTAGCAATCACCTTTCTGAAATCAGTCAATCAAAAAACAAGCTAAATGCCAGAGAGAAAAAGAGATGTAAGCGTTCCTCTCCCCCGTTATAGTCAGAATCTTGGTAGCCATGGGGTAGCTTTGAGCATAAAGCACTTTGGCTGGAGTCAAGAAGACCTGAGTTCAAATCCAGCCTCAGATACTTACTAGCTGGACAAGTCATTTAACCTAGGTCTGCTTCAGTTTCCTCAAACGTCCAATGGAGATCATAGTAGCACCCACCTACCAGGGCTGCCATGAGGATGGTATTAGCACAGAGCCTGGCACATAGCAGGCTCTTAATGAATGCTTATTCCCTTCCTGGAGAGCTGAGACTTTCTTCTTTGGACTTTCTTCCTATCGCCAGGGCTAGTAGGCACTTAGCAAATACTTACTGATTCATTGACTGGCCTCCAGAAGCTTCCATTTTATCAAGGGAAATAACAGGCTTAAATTCAGACAAGAGAGAATCTGAGGTCAGGGCCAATTATATTGGATTTTAACCTAATGTGCCATGAGGACAAGGACAGAAAAGAAGGTCATTGGGTTTAAGGAAGAGGAGGAACTAGGCTGTTTCAAGTAGATTAAGGCTGGGAGGCAGACCATAATAAAAAAAAAAGGGCAGAGTGCAGTGGGGAAAGTCATCATTAAGATACACGTTGCTACTCCCCAACTCTCTCTTGCAACCCCCAGTCCCCAAATCACCACCAGCTCTGTTTCACTGATTTTAGTAGAAGCAGCAATATACTTGAAGCCCTGGTCCTGGAGCCTGGGGAGGTCTGGGGCTCCAGTGATTTGGTCACATAAACCTTGGAAAAGCAGTGGAAGGAGCGCTCTCTGGATGTGGGTTTAAATTCCAACTCTTCCATTTTTGTGACTTTGCACCTCAGTTTCCTCATCTGTAAAATGGGATGGTTAGACAAGCAAGCCTCCAGGGCACCTCCCAGCTTTAAATCTAGATTCCTTAGACCCAGTCCAGATTTAAGTCCCAAGAAGGGACTGATGTGAAATACCGTCAATGTGAGTTATTCTTCGGGTCTAGATGCCCCACCCTCACAGCCCGGGAACTGGATCATGGAGAAACAGGCATCATTGGCTCAACCATTATGTCCCCCTTGTAAGAGAAAGCTGTTAGGGTGGTGAGCTGCCCATCTGAAGGGTATATAAAGTGATTCCTACTTGTAAAAGGGTTTATATGACAACCTCTGGTTAGTCAGAGTTCATCTGAACTCACAGGAGTACCTGATTGTAGGACTGCCGGAATCTGTTGAGTAACCAGCTCACCCACACCTAGGAGAGCCGACACAGGGCCTCTAGGAGGGAGAATGCCATCTTGAAAGGGGTGATTATAGGATCTTTTTAATTTCCCAGGCTAAAGAGATGGCCTCGTAGGCAGAACTGGGTTCGAGTTCTACCCTGCCTCTGGCAGCAACAGGAGATAGAGCACCGGACCTGGGATTAGGAAAACTTGCTTTCAGATCCAGCCTCAGACACTAGCCGTGTAACCCTGGGCAAGTCATTTAACCTCAGTTGGCCTCAGTTTCCTCAACTGTAAAATGGGGAGAATAATAGCACCTCCCTTCTAGGATTGTTGTGAGGATAAAATGAGACAATCTTTGTCAAAAATGCTTATTGCAGTGCGTGGTGCATAGTATAGACACATTTATTTATCCTCCCCTTCCCCGTGTGGCCATAGAGAGATCACTGAATCTTTCAACGCTGTAGACAACAAAGACTGGAATTTGCAAAGAACGTGGCAACCTTACCAGGAAATTCCCTATGCCGGTGAAATCACAGGTCCTGGTCCCTGTCCCTACCTTAAAACCACCTGCTTGCACTTCTTTGGACCATTTTATCTTTAAAATGGGGTTTGTAAGGGGCAACTAGGTGGTACAGTAGATGGAGCACTGGCCCTGAAGTCAGGAGGACCTGAGTTCAAATCCAGCCTCAGACACATAACACTCACTAGCTGTGTGACTCTGGGCAAGTCACTTAACCTCAACTGCCTCACCAAACATAAAATAAAATAAAATGGAGTTGGTAGCGGTTTGCCATACGCGGCTTCCTGAGCTGGGGAGAGCATTCTGGCAAATGTACTTCCTCCTTAAAAGTCATAGACATAGCACGCTAAGACACTGCAGGGGCCATCTAGCCCAACCCCATTTTACAGAAGAGAAAACTGAGGCCTTCAGAGGTAAAGTCACTTACCCCAGGTGCCCTAACAAGTGCTGAGAACCCAGGTCTTCTTCCTGCATATTCAATACTCTTCCCATTACACCATTCCGCCTCCCTCTGTTATCAACTTTATTAATAGGATTAAGATTCATTTCATTGTTTGGTATTGGTATTCCCAAAGTCTAACACATTGCCCATTGTAGACATTCAATGCCTGTCGACTATTATGATGATTTTGGTCACTTGCTTCTTTCTCACAAAAGTAACAGTGAAGTGGAGATTTGGCCCCATTGACTCCAAAGCCAGTATCCTTTTCACTTGTACCACACCACCTACGGAGGGGCCATTGCTCACATAGGATAGAGGTGAAGACAGTCCCCATCCCGAGGTCATGCCAAATCTCATCCTAGAGTAGCTTATGGCAATTTCTTCTTCTTCTTTTTTGTTTTTTGGTGAGGCAATTGGGATTAAATGACTTGCCCAAAGTCACATAACTAGTGAGTGTTATATGTCTGAAGCTGGATTTGAACTCAGGTCCTCCTGATTCCAGGGCCGCTGCTCTATCCACTGCGCTATTATGGCAGTTTCTTAATTCTCCCACAGCTTGCCTTCCTTTCCAATACTGACCACTTTTCCCTTGCAGTTCAGTTGGTATCTGATTCAGGAATGCAAAATTAAATCATTCATGTTGAGCCATGAAAAAAAAAATCCTAATTAGGCTAATAGGAAAGCTTCTGCTGTTAAAACAATTCATTGGAGCCACTTCAAAGGTAAGAGGGAAAGCAGTGGGGGTGGGAGTTCAGTTAGATGTGCCATGGCTCCCCTCCTGGAGCAGGAAAGACAGGCGGCAACTGGGTCTGACTCGGTGCCCTTCTGGATTTCTCTGGTTGCACAATCCCGAGACAGTTTGTCAGATGGATGGTTCTGGAGACAGAAGTCTGCCCCTTAAGTTGACAAGCAGGAACTCCTTGGCGTCCATCACCTGGCAGACAGTTACCAGTTCAGCTCTCCCTCCTGCTGTCGACTGGTTCTCAACCAAGTGTTTTTCATTCACTTGGGATGCTCAGTCGGAGAATTCAGATCATCTCTCTGCATCAGCTGCCTCATCTACAAAGTAAGGGCCAGGCCTTGGAAAATGAATCTAGCTCCCGCGGGGAGCCGCATCATCTCCAAATGAAATCCCGGTGGTGATGGGTGAGCCCCCATTGAACACGTTGGGTCACTGGGTTCAGTGTGGCTGCCAGATTCAGACCACTTCTTCCCACTCGCTCTCATCTACACCTGGAACTTTTCTCCATCCAGTCAACTAGCAGATGCCTCATTACCCTCCAAGGCTATCCAGCCCTGACCATCACCACCTTCACAGCTCTATTTTTAGCTTTTGAGGGAGGAAGGCATTCAGGTCACAGGGTACATTTGTGAGTACCAACTTG